CTTCCTCTCTTAAAAAGCCCAACAAACAAAATCAAAATGAAAGCACAGGGAGAATGGTGGAAAAGAGATTTGCCTCTGCCCTGCCATCTGGGCTGTGAGTATTTTTGGCTGCCATTTGTTTATGTGAGTCTTGAAGCTTGTCCTTGTCTTACTGCATTGAAGCGGAGCTGGAGTACACCTGCTCTCGTTGCTATTCCTGTGCTAAAACTCTTCTCCAGCTTTCAATTCCCCTTTAGCACTCTTACTTGGTACCTAGCTCTAATTTCATGCTTTTTTTCTTTTTAGTGATTCTCAGACCATTAATTCTCTACAATTCCCAGACATCCGACTTTCACACTGCCAAGATGGTCTTGTGTCATGCAGTTAACTTTGCCTACAGATTGTTAAATGCTCCCCCATGAGTCAATTCAATTTGACATCATCCCACAGTGATGGTTCACAGGAATATGGATCAGATGCTTTCTCAATGCTGCACCTCAACACGATGGAGAAATGGGCTGACAGGAACCTCATGAAGCTCATCAAGGAGAAGTGCAAAGTCCTGCACCTGGAGAGGAACAAGAAAATGGAGCCAGGCTCTTTTCAGTGCCAGGTCCAGGGGCAATGGAAACAAACTGAAATGCAGAAGGTTCCCTTTGAACATCAGGAAACACTTTTTTCTTGTCAGCACTGGCACAGATTGGCCAGCAAGGTTGTGGAATGTTCATATTTGGAGGTACTAAGAATGTCTAGACATGGTCTAGGACAATTGTTCTTGGTGGTCTTGCCAGAGCAGGGAGGTTGAACCAGGTACCCTCCAGAAATTCCTCCCAAACTAAACCATTCTGTGATTCTGTCCAAATGCACTAATAGGTTATTTCCCTTATAGAATCTTTCAACCAGCCTAAGAAACAGCATCCTAGTCAGGTTATCTTGTCACATTATTGGAAACTGTAGGAGGAAGAGTGGGATCTATACACTGGTTCATGTTTTAGTGAGTGGAAGTGAGCATCACATGCAGCTGGGATTAGGAGAAACTGGATTTCCAGGTTTTATTGCTAGTTCCCATGATGCTTTTATGGATAGAATAGCTTAATCCCTCTGTATTTTACTTAATCCACATGAATAATGAGAACACATTTTATTCCCTTACATACTTACATTACATAGGTATGTCATTTAATGACCTTAACATGTTTTGAGATCATTATGTGAAAGACACCACATACAGTGGTAACATCAGTTATTGAAATGGGTATACTAGCAAGAGAAAGGCTCATGTCTTAACCCTGGAATGCATCCTAAACCATGAACACGGGTTGTGAGAGGATTTTGAATATACCCACAACAAGATTAAGACCCAAACAAGGTTGAATGTTGGTAACCAAAATCACAAATCACTTTTATTTACAGCCAAGGAAGACAGTAAGGAGGAAAGATAGAAAAGTAGGAAAAAGCAGAGAAGTAGAGAAAGCAAGAAAGGATCCCACAGCCCCTTATTGCACGGGGTACATCATATGGACAGCTCTGGTGGATCGCGATATCGCGTGTGAGAAGCTGCCATCTGCTCCTTTTGTTTTCTGAATGTCTCAATTCGCTCCAATGGACCCAAGTAGTGGTGGAAGGGGTTGTTTTATAGCAGTTCCACAATTAAAGACCAAATTAACATGTGGCTTAACATATGAAATTGCTTTACATAAATATTACTAGTTAAATATAGGCCCTGGAAATGCGTGTGCTGCATATATGAATATTAACAAATGCAGGGCCTATTTGAACAAGGCACAGGCAGCCTCCAAACCTCAAAATAAGAATCTGAGTCAAAGCATAATTGTGTGTAAGCTCAAAACTCTGTCATTAGTATTAGTTGTCTTCATTAAAGCAGCCTTCCTCCTGCAGTCACTTTAAGCTGTGTATCCTTCTTTCTCGGACCAGAAATCAGCACTACTTTGAAATAAATATTTGGATATTAAGCCATTACAGCTCTTTTGTTGTTTGAATCATAATGTTTAGCCAGCAAGTCAGTTAAGCTTAAAATCCCTGGGCTGAGGACAAATTCCAGCTGTGGGAATGCAAAATAACTGGTCATGTTTGAGGAGAATGGCAGCACTACAGCAGCAGGTCTCCTGTGTTTGATGGCTTGAAGAGAACCTGGCACTTTGTCGTTGGGGGGCACAGGGGGAATTTGCCACAAAAAGGATAAACCCAAGAAACAGCATGGAGGTAAAGAGACCACAGGAAGAAGTGCTTGGAAGGGGAATTTTGAAGCTCCTGTTTAAAATACTGCAGCTAAAACTTTTAGAAATGTTTTATCATAAAGGGAATTTCAATCACAGCTTTAAATGATTGACATTGCATACTAAATTGCTATCAGTGTAATCTTTACCTTTTGATATTTCCTTCTGTAAGAATTTGGTTGCTGTTCTTTATCATTAGGAGAAACAGTCTGATGAGCTTTGGAAGACTAAGCCTCAAAGCAGGTAGTGTGCAGTTAGGTGTACTTCAGAGTGGAGCTATTTTCAAATGGACAGTAGAAGCAGGAGATATACAGGTTTGGAAGAAAATTTTGGTGTCTTAAGCTGCTTTTCTCTTTCAGAACAACTGTGCTAATATTGCTGTTAAAGTAAGATTTTGGTTTAAAAAAACCAAAAATATAACAATAACTGAGTTTTTTACACCCTGTCACAACCCTTCATATGTTTATCCCTAACCTAAGGATTGCTGCTGGAATAGCAAATCCAAAAATACTCCATTTTCTTAACTCTTGGCAAAACTACTTGCTACATGACAGGAAATGGAGACAGATCAAGTGACTCCACACAGAGAGAAAGCATCAGTTAGGCAGCAGCTGAACCATAATGAGTCTCTTCTAGAGACTCTTCTCTCAAGAGTCTCTTGGCAATGCTTTCACCAAAACATTACGCAGCAGTTAAGATAGGAATGCTTTTATCTATTCCCCCTATGAACCAAAAGGAGGACACAGCCCTGCAGCCAAAGCAGCATGCAGAGGAGAGGAGAAGTAAGGTTAGCATTTAAAGTTGAGGTGAACATTTCAAAAATCTCTGATTCTTTGACCTCATTATGTTTTTACACAGTTTCTTTAATAATAGTCTCCAAGAGCAGCTATAACACATGCCAATCTGGAATTACAGAAAAATAATTAAATAGAAGGCTTTCAGTCCAAGTAGTCCACATCTAGATAGTTGCAGTGTTATTAAACACTACAAACTTTTTCAAAGTCCATGTGTAGGAGTTTACTGACTAGGCACAAATGTACTTTCTTCCATTTTTAGCTAATTCTTTTACAAAACACTGAATATTTAAGTACTTTTCATTACTTTTTTTTTTCTTGAAGCTGAGATCAAAGCTTGATTCAAGTTGCAACAATGTTATTCCAACATGTTATAAGAAATTTTTTAAGTCATCTAAAATCTGTTAACCATGAGGTAAGCCAATCCCACCAAGGGGTACTTTTAGTGATCTCCTATTCCGGCATTGCTTTTTCAATTGATTGTATTCCTGGCTCTTGAGCATTTATGCCCATTTCCCCTTTTGGGAAGGAGAGAAGTTTTCTCTCTCTGCTTCCATATATTACTTTCAATGGATGTCTGACACTGAATTTATCCTAAACAAATTCCGACAATGACTGTGATAATTATAATACACATTAAGGCCTCAAGTAGTATAGCCAACCCTTCAGTGACTAATTCCCAATTTCCTGCAGAATTTTGTTTAGCTGATTAGTCTCTGCAGCCTGTTGTAATTCCTCGGGGAATTGTCTGGCTCACTGACTCAGTGAAAGGTATACAGGTGGTGATATTACTCAAATTGCACATCTCACCAAACCCTTGAACTAAATCTAGTATGAGATTTCCAGTTTCTCCAGAAGAAGCTATATCCCTTTGAGCTACTATACTACAAAATACAGAAATATGATCTTCATTAACCATTTCATTTCAGACAAATACTGTCATGCACTCTATAATCATCAAAAAATTCACTTGATCCTGAGTGCAATTTATTAAATATTTAATTTCAATCTTATTTGTAAGGGATTTACTGTCTGCTGAACAGCTCAGTGAAGTGTGTCCCGGTTTGGTGCTGGCTTGGTCCAGGTGTAGTGAATTCAGGAGACTCAGGAGTCTCAGTCAACAGTTTTCATAGCCATGTAGGTAGCCAGGAGAACTTGGAAGGGTCCTTTCCACTTTTCCTTAAGTGTTTCATCGTTCCACATGTGGACATTTACCTAATCCCTGGGTTGATGAGGATGTACCTGAATGTCCAAGGTTGTTGAGGAAGCTAAAAAACAAACCTATGCAAAACTGAGAGCTCTTTTCCCAAAGATAATACATACTCTTTTAAATTACCATTTCCTATCACATGGCTTTCTCCTGAGATAGTTAGTTTGATACAGTGTGCCTTAAATATATTCATAAGGACTTAATCTTTCTTTAGATCTAGGCTGTATTCTAATTCTTAATAAGGCCAAAGAAAAAGCCTGAGGCTATCTTAGTGAAGTTTCTTGACAAATCTTACTCATTTGCCATTTCAAGTTTTGGGTCATCCTTTCTACTTTTCCACTGGACTGAGGTATTTAAGGAGAGTGGAGATTCCATGTAACTCCCAAGCACTCTGCATAAACTTTGAACTGTTTCAGACACAGAATGAAATTCTCTGTCTGAAGACAGATCCAGTGGTACCCCAAATCTGGGTATAATTTCCTTTAAGAAAATTTCTGTTACTTCTAGAGTTTTGTTGGTGCAACAGACAAAGGTTTCTGGCCATCCAGAAAAGCTATCCACCAAGAACAGCATCAATAACCATCATCTCAGGGTAGTTCTAAAAAATATGTCTTGGTTTAAGACAGTTTAAAGAGGTGAACACTCTAAAATGAGCTACCTCCCCTTAGTTCCATCCAGTCCCTTTCCAAAAATAAGGAACAAACAAGCAGATACAAAAGAATAGATAACAATTTATTGACAAGTGAAACAGCAACAAATAACAGTGAAACAGGCAAAAAATAACAGTAAGTAATCACTAGATAGTGATCACTAGACATAAAATTGCTAAATTTCACAAATCTCATGGCAACAAAGAGACACCCAAAAGGGTGGAAACACCTGCAGGGTGACCCAGCCCCAGGGACTGGCTCACTTTGCACACTTCACTCCAAAACAGTTTTTGATAGCGTGTGGAAAATCATGGTGCCAAAGTCTGGGGTCCACAGAAGAGCCCTGCAAAAATCAACTTTATTTGAATAAAGGGAGAGTCTAGTGGAACATATCCCTGTGGGGCGTCTTGAGTTTTTGGAGGATCCAGCCTCCTTTTATCCTAAACTCCCAACCGCATGTTGCCCTCCTCCTTTCCCCATTGGCTGAGGCACTAAGAATGTACAAACTTCCCAAACCACCTACTACCTGTCTTCCTTCCAACATGTACCCCCACACCATTCTTCTAGAATATGATTGGGTCTTTCAGGTTATCTAGGTATATGGTCTGATCTCTCCTAGACTCCCTCTAGGAAAACCTGAAAACTTTAAAATTTTCCCACATGAATAAGGAACTAGGCTCTATGGGTCATGAACAGGGAAGGCTCTGAGTAGCTTACTGAGGTAAGAGATTGCTGGATTGTCTCAAGGACTTCAATAGTCTTGGCTTGTTGCTGGATTGTGGCTTCCAGCCTTGCCGTTTGTATCTGGAGCCTGAAAAAAGTACAGGCCTTATCACAGAAGTCCACAAGAGGACAAATACTAAAAGAACAGCACAAAAGCACCTCATCTAAAAAGCATCTTTGAAAATCATGTGTTAGTATCTCACTGGGATACAAGATGACAGTCCTGTTGTTTTCACAGAATCACACAAAATGAAGCCTTGCTCCACTGTCTTACCGTTGAATGCGTTCTTCCAGCAGGGGGATAGCTGCAGCTGAAGAATCAGAAGACTCAACCAGGATGCGTTGCATGTTCCTCAAAATTGTTATTACCTTCTTCTTTTGGGCATTCTTCCCTGAGTCAGCATAATATTCATTCTTGTTAAGAGGTTCTTTCAGGTCCTTGAGCTGTTAAACCACAAGAACAAACCCAGTAGAAAGCTTTCATATATTAGAAAATATTAGAGTGCTTTGATGTTTTAACTCTGATGTTAACTTTCAAAACCTGTGTTACTTCTTCATCTTTTATAGTAGGACCTCTCCTACACTGATTTCCTGGAGTGTTTCCTAGAGACTGGCACAACACTTTTCTTCTCCTCTTTTCTCTCAAGGACTCTGAACACACTTTGTAGCCTGTTCTGGTGTCATGGTTTAGGAATGGTATTCCCCTAATTCGTGTTTCCACTGAGACTCTTCCCAACCACACTGCTGCTCCCTTGCTCCCTCCTTCTCTCTCAACCCTGCAACAGGAAGGAGAGGAGAACTGGGGACACAAAATGTAAAGGTCATGGGCTAAGTTAAGAACAATTTACTGGAAACAGCAATGAGATAAGAAAACTATAATAGCAATGATATTCATAAGAAAAATGTTCCAGAGAAAAGTAAGAGATTCATATGCAAAATACTCAGGACTGGTGTTACCCAGCCACTCCCTCTGCCTCACTTATTCAACCACAAGGGAATAGACTCCCTTTTCTTTCCCCTTCCCCATGCACCACATTCTCTCCTGGTCCCTCCACCCTGCCCTGCTTCCTCCATCCTCGGCAATGACTTGAGGTGGTATAGAGTAACCTCAGGGCCCTAGCCATGCCCCCTCCTGGCTACTGTGATTAGAAACTCCTCCTCTTCCTAAACTGACTTTACAATTCCATATGGTCCCAATGGTGATGGGCAGAAGAAATACTGCAAAACATCAGTGCAACCCTCCAACAGGCCTATTCCTACTCTGCCAACACACAGTCCACTTTGAAAAACCACACAGGAGAGGCAAATACTGTGTGCTCCATGATGCCTGGGAAGCAGCTTTTTGAAAGGAATACATGTCCTTCTTCCATTAAGGACGAAGTGACATCATAGCTAGTGTTTTTTTAATTGTAGTCACCAGACTTATAAAATCAGTCACATCAGTGATGTGTCACTCAACTTACTCCTGTTGCAAAGTTGTGTAGTGTACTAAGACCACCTCAGTGCAGCCCTCCACTGTTACTTCAAGTGGTACCAACGGGCAAAGATCAAAGGCAGCAGTGCTGTTCCTTCCCCTGAACAGCTCCATGTTACACAAGAGTCTTAAGGAATGATCAGTTCCCTGCTCTGTTTACTACAAAGAAGGCTTGGGACTCTGCCAAGAAACAGGCATTTTCCACACCCTAGTTTTACACCTCTCCAGTTTCTCCAACAGCAGTTTCTGTCCCTTCCTGCTGTTGATCTTCACAGTTCCAAGAGGAGCTCCTTCCAGGGAGTCCTTTCTGAGAATTTTGTCAAGCTTCTGCCGGGCCAATGGCTAAGGAAATGGTGTTTCATAAGCATGGCAAAATCAGTGTGAACATGACAACAAAATGATGCTTTTACTGATGAAATTACATTATTAGATTGGTCTGCAGGTTGAGGGAGAGGTTGGCCAGCAGGTTGAGGGAGGCAATTTTCCCTTTCCACTCTGCTCTTGTGAGATCCCACCTAAAGTGCTGTGTCACCCTCTGAGGCCCGCAGCACAAGGCAGACATGGATCTGTTGAAAAGATGCCAGAGAAAGGCCACAAAGACATTCATGGGCCTGGAACAGCTCACCCATGGATAAAGGGTGAGGGACCTTGGATTTTCCAGTGTGGGGAAAAGCAGGCTCTGGGCAGATATGATTGCAGCCTTTTAACATAAAAAGAAGGAGAGATATTTTTACCAAGGATTGGAGTAACAGGTCAAGGAGCAACAATTTAAAATTAAAAGACAGTAGATCTGAATTAGATGTCAGGAGGAAAATTTTCCAAGTATTGTGATAGAACACTGGACCAAGCTGTCCAGAGGAGTTGTGCTCATCCCTGGACATGTTCAAAATGAACTCATTTTGAACCTCAAGCAGCCTCTTTTTGCAGCTCTTCTGCTTCAAATACATATGATATTGGGTCCAAAATACAGCTCATGTCCAGATTAATTGCTTCCTCTCAGCACTATTTCAAAATGTACTCACCAGCAAGAGTACATGTGTTTACACTGATAGGTTCTATTTAGGGATATTTGCATCTATCTCTAAGAGTCACCTGTTTGTCCTGCTCAGAATTTGTTTGAGTTGAAGAATCAACCTTTAGCTGAAGATCTTCTCCCTGTAATGTAGGAAGCTAAGCAAACAAGAAAAAAGATAAACAGCTGGGAAAAGAATCCTCAACAGTACTGCCTTCAAGCAGAGAGCACAAAGAAATGTGACTTCTGCCAAGGGTAGTGTAAGAGCTCAGGAAGTACCTTATTCTCAGAAGAGGACATAAAATGTTCCTTCTGTTCTGCTCTTTCAGCTGATAATAGAGATTAAAAAAGAAGGTAAGAGTGTTGCTGCTGTGAGTGCTTCTTTCACTTTGCTTTTCCGAAAAACTGATCCACTCCACAGAGGCCCACAAAGGCAACCATGTAGACCCTCTGAAATTACCTTTGCCATGCTTCACTGCAGCAGAGCTCACACCCACTCTGTTTTGGTCTGCAGCAGGAAGCTGCACATCGGCCGACACTTTGCTTCCACTGTCAGAATCGGTCTGCATATTTTAAAAAACACATATGAGAACTGCCAGAGGTTGCTTCCACGCCCTCTTCCACCCTCAAATCTCCTGCTTCAGCCAAGAGGCCTAACAGGAGAGGGATCAGGTGAAGGAAATAACAATAAGGGCAAACACAGTCAGTAGGTTTGGCATCTCTCTCTTGAGTAGATCTTTCAAAACAGGACAAAGTCCTCCTGCCCAAGTTTGAGACAACCTAGGCAGAAGAAATAGATCTCTAAATTGTGGGTCATCCACAACCATTTGACATTG